GACTGTTTTCTCCTATACATTTTTATTTGTTTATTGTGGGGTGTGTGTGTATGTGTGTGTGTTTGTATGTGTGTGTGTGTGTGTACATGTGCAGGAAGAGTGCATACCATAGTGTTCATATGGAAGACAATGGAACACTTTGTGGAGAATCGATTCTCTGATTCTCCTGTGGATTCCAGGGATTGAACCACCAGGCTTGCACTTCTTCTTTCACTCTGCCTTCTTGCCATTTGCCTTTTTGTTTATGGAGCTAGATTATAAGGGGATTGAAATTGAAAAGATGTATCTATATTTAGAATTTCCTTTCCTTGCAGTTTTCAGATTTTGGAGCCTAAGGAATATTTTCCCGGGGAGACTGCCAGCACAGCCACCTTATCAACCAAGATCCTGATACATAGCCACAGACTGGAGTTCTGGTGGCCACAGTCCTCAAATCCCTTCTTAAGACAGGTAGGCAAAAGACAATGGAGAATGCTGGAAAAGTCCTTCCTTCCTGTTCTTTCTAAATTTTACTTTACATATATAGGTATTTTGCCTGCATAGATCCCTGTGTTGTATGTATATGTGTGTGCCATATGCATACCTCGTACCTGAGAAATCCAGAAGAGTGTGATGAATTTGGAACTGGAGTTAAAGGTGCTTTTTTTTTTTTTTTTTTTTTTTGAGCCACCATGTGGGTGCTGGGAATCATACCTGGCTCTAGAAGAGCAGTCAGTGCTCTCAGTGGCTAAACCATCTCTCCAGCACCCTTTCTGTTTTTGGTTAGATCAACTAGTTAACTGGCTTCAGATTTTTAACCTCTTTTCTTGGTACAAATGAAGCACCCCAAATATTAGGCAGTGGGTAATACAGTCTATTTTAAAGAATATTAAGTATTCTTAATATTTAGTGGTAAAACAGGATAATTTTGTTTCCTTTTTTGCATTTTCAAATTGTTTTTATGAATTGTGTGACAATTATTGATTTTATTACAAATTACTGTAAATTTAGTAGCTTTTAAAGCATTAACTATCTATTATCTGTTTTGTTTTAAGATAGGGTCTTACTCTGTAGCCTTGGCTGGCCTCTAACTTGCTACATAGCCCACACTGGCTTTCAACTCACAGCATCTCACCTACCTCTGCCTCTTGACTGCTGGGATAAAAGGTGTGTGTCACAACTGGCAAGCATGTTTGTTTTAATAATAGAATTCAGTGGGTTTGCTTGTCTTCGTTAACATGGTATGAGGTGGGGTAGCTAGGGGTGTGACTCAGTGGCTAAGAACTGGGATTATTTGAATGTTTGCTCCCTCCTGTGTCTGGTGGTGAACGTTGACTTGGCTGAGTGCTCAGCCTGGGCTGTTAGCCAGAACACCTACACTACACTTCTCCTTGTGACTGCTTGCTTTCTTACAGCATGGCTAACTAGATTCAAGAAAGAACATCCCAAGACAGGAGGGTGAAGGGACATGACTTACTTGACTTAGTTTGGAAGTCACATAGGATCACTTCATTCCATTTTTCAGAAGTTAAGAGTCTACGTAGGTTAGGAGAATTGGAAAGGGCCATGAGCCCCACCACTTGAAGGCAGGATTATCAGCAGCTCATTGTAAGAGCATTTGATAGGGAGTCAAGTGCTTTTGGGGATATAATTTTTCACAGCTTGTATTTTTAAAATTATATTTTTAAGTGTGTGTGGGGTGCACAAGTGCCACAGCACACGTGTAGAGGTCAGAGACAACTCTCAGGGGTCAGTCCTCTCCTACCATGGGCACTCTTGGGATTACAGTCAGGCTGTCAGGCTTGGCACCATGCACCTTTTCCTGCTGAACCATCTGACAGATCCAGAGAAATAATATAATGCATGAGGCTTTGGATTTGATCCCCAGTATTACCACTTGTAGATATGCAGATATGGTGGCACACACTGTAATCTCATGAATAAATAATAAATTAATAATCTCAGTAATAAATCTGGGAGGCAGAGGCAGGTGGATTATTGTAAGTTTGAGACCACTCTATATGCATAGTAAATTCTAGATCAGCCAGACTTACATAGCAAGACTTTGTCTCAAAGTATCTATATGTGTTTGTATGTAGGCATGCTCTAAGTGTCGGGTTGGGGCTGGAAAGATGATCCACTGGTTAAAAGCACTGGTTGCTCTTTCAGAGGACCCACGGAGTGGCTTATAACCATTTGTAATTCCAGTTCCAAAGGATCTGATGCCTTTTGACTTCCTATGGCACTAAACATGGTCATGATACAAATCATAATGCATGTAGAATACTTGTATACATGAAATAAAGTAAATACATATTTAAAAAAATTAAGCTGGGCAGGGTGGCACACACTTTTAATCCCAGTACTTGGGAGGCAAAGACAGGTTGATCTCTGAGTTCCAGTCCACCCTGCTCTACAGAGTTAAGTTCCAGGACAACCTGGACTACATAAAGAAACCTTGTCTTAAAAACAAACAAACAAGCAAACCAAACAGAGGAAAGCTCTTGGGGTCTCAAGTCTAGACAAAGAATCACAGGTAACTGGGGAATGCTGAGATTGGAAATAATAAATTGTCTTCTTGGAAGAGCAGCTCGCTTGGTTATCCAATACAAAGGACCCTGAGATCAGTATTATATATACTGAGCAGGTTGTATTTAGGAACACACATGCACACACACGCACGGATGCACGAACGCACACTTGCGCCATGTATTTGAAAGAGAACCAGTGGGTTCATGGGACGAGTTGGAGGAAAGAAATGGAAGAGGGGAAGTGATATAATAATAATATCAATTGTTTTTAATTTAAAAAGTAAAAACGAAAAAGTTTATTTTTAAAAACCAAAGGGGACACACACATATAATAAAAAAATAAATATTCCCTTAGAATTTGAGTTCTTCTTGTCTAGTGGAGTATGATTTTAAAGTAATTAGGGCTCTCAAGAGGAATAAAATACAAATATACATATTTTATAAAAGGATTATATTAGATTGTCTTACATAGTTGAAGTCTGTCTAGCCAGTTCAGCAGTGGCCCTGTACATGCTTAGACATCCAAGTGGCTTCTAAGTCTAATAAGTAAGAATGAGGGGTGAGAACAAGGGGCCTCAGCAATGCCTTCTGAGGGAGGCTGAAGGCCTAGAAGTTCCCACACAGTTACTGTGTGAGTCTGTACTGAAAGCCCAAAGAAACTGGACTCTGATGTTCACAAGCAGTGGCAACAGCAGTAGATGCACTCAACTACTCGGGAAGAATGGAGTTTGCACCCACGGCCTGGCTTTCTTCCACCTTTTGTTCCATCTCTCCACCCATCTCCCCAGGCCCCTTGCCTGTTAGAGGTGCCACCTATATTCAAGGTGGTTTTTTTTCCTTCCTTGGTTGATGCTGTGTATTCGAATCATCTCTAGAAATGCTCTCACAGACAGTCTTAGAAGTATGCTTTACTAAATGTTCTAGGTGTCTCTCCACCTAAGCAAGCTGATAGTCAAGGTTAACTATCAATATGTCTAAGTACAAAGAAAAAAGATTTTGGGTGTTATTTTGTGACAACAAAGTAATAAATACATAATTATAATTAAAAGCAGATACAAAGTACACAAACAAGACAAAGTATAAGATTTATAGCTTGGACTTTGTTTCTTTATCCCAAATATTCTAGTAATTTTACAGTCTAGGTGGATTTTTCCTCCTTACTTGAATAATTTAAGTTATTTGAGGAATTGGTGTCCAATTTTAAATTTGAAAAACTAGTGTCATCCACCAGGTTTTTTGTGTCTCTTTGCTTCCTTTGAGAAAACTATTTGCTCTCTTTTTAGAATTCTACAATCCTACTTGCTAAATTTTTTGTAAAGTAATTGTAAAAACATTTATTAATACAAGAAAACTTATAGAGTTGTGTCGTTGTTGGTTGGTTGTCTTGTTGATGAAAGTTACAATTATAGAAATTTCCTGTAACAAATTATACCTAGTTTGAATGCATCACTATGATACTGTTAGATAATGCGCCAATCATTACAGAATTCTATGTCCAGTTTTATATTTAGGTTTGTGGAAAATAAAGGAAGGTAAGGAAACATTTATCAGAATGGAAGGCTTCCTATCATTTTGTTTTAACTTTTATTTTGAAATGGTTTTAGATTCACAGAAGTTTGTAGCAAGAAGGCAGTGAAGTGCTCATTCCCTAGCTCTTCCCTGTGTACACTGTTACACAGCACACTGTCATAGGAGGAAATCAGACCAACAAGGTTGTACAGAGTAAATAGGATGTTGAGCATCTCTGTATTTATACTGATAATTCAGCAATGGTTTTAAATTACATTATGTGTGTGTATGTGTTAGACAAGAGACAGAGACATACATGCCTTAGTGAATAGATTAGGTCAGAGGACAGTGTGCATGAGGTTTTTTCTTCTACCATATGGACCCTAGGGATTGAACTCGGGTCCTCAGGCTTAGTGATATGTGCCCTTTATTTGTAGACCCTGCCCACAGTGGTGGTATTTTTCTAGTGCTATTTATATGTCAGTCAGGCCAAGTATATTTATATATGATGGTTTAGTTGTTCACATAATGCTATGACTTAGGTTATAGTTTTGTTATATCCCTTGCAGAAAAGAAAACCAAGGTTAATGTGTTTGTAAAGTTGTCCAAAGTAGTTCATCTAACCAGCAAAGACTTGCTGGAAATCGTTTTTCTCTTTCTATCCTGTGGCCCCATGGATCAGACTGAGGTTGGTTAGGCTCTGCTCTCTGGGCTCTGGCCCAGTTTTGATATAACAGTCTGTAGCACTCAGTGAGAGGTCTTTGACTAACTTCTTGTTGAATGTATATATTCAGACTTTACTTCTTTGCTGATTAGACACAAAATGAAACAAAAGGTCCACAAAAATACCATTGAGTTTCTTTGTGTTAATCATCTATGGGGCCTGCCCTGGAGTATAGTTGATATACCCAGTGAAATTCCATTGAGAAAACTGATTTTTCCTTTGCCAGCTGATCTCACTTGCAGATAGCTCCTTAGTTAGGGATAGGCCCTGTGTCTATCTCGTTACTTTTTATAATAACTTAGAGAGTCCAGTTAGTATTTCTACATGCTTACTGTTAGGGAGCTAGAGCGTGAACAGCCTAACCGTCACCCTACAGTCTTGGCTGACCAGCACCTCTGCTAATGGTTCCTAATTTGACAATGCTTCAGCCTAGGAGGAAGAGACTCCTGGGAGGGGCAGAAAGTCAGGTGTGCCCTTTAGTCTCTCAGAGCTGTCCCTCACTAGACCTGCCATCTCTTAGCAGCCTGAAGTTGACAATAGCTCCTTAGCTAGGGCGAGGGCCACTTACAAGTCCCTCTGTCATCCATGCTGGGTTGTTATCTGGCTTGATCTTATGCAGGTAACTGTAGCTGCTATAAGTTCATTCTGTACAAGCACAATTATGCAAATTGGTTTTCAGGTATAATATAACCGTTAAAGTTTAATAT